AGAGAGGTGAGCAGAGTAAGTCTGATTCCCTGTAAGGACTTCTCTGCTGACACCCACCCCTTGGCGCTCATATTATGACCTTATACAGTTGCGAGCGCTCTAAAACCCTCTACTAAAATAAACAAATAAACTACTATAACTAGACAAAATATTTCGAGCCTAACGAAAGTGTACGTGTTGAAAATGTGTTTGTACTGGTCAATACGTACGTATGTTTGTTCATATTTTGTCGCCGACATACAATGTTGTAGTAAGTCAGGATTTAGAAATAAATAATTTGTGAGTCAGCGTGGTGGAATCAGGCTCTCGTCAAAATAATGAAATCGAAGAAAAAAGCAGTTTTCGCCCTGCTTAGCAATTTATATCAAATTTTTGTTTTTTGGCTCAACACCTTTTAGGTCCATTTACAAACACATCTCTTTGAGGATTTCACCTAAAAACGTTGATTAAAGACAAAAAAATATATATTTACAGTTTCCATGGACTCTCTAGCTTTGGAATGTACCAAGCTTTGGCTGCCATATTCTCGCTAATTTCACCTCTGAAACCAGGTGACCTTTACCTCCTTCAATCCAAAATATCTCCACTGCTATTGAAGATGGGTGGGTAATTTGTAAATTGAAAGCAAGACAAATGAACAAGCTTTAAGATGATACCAATAACTCAATATGCTCAAAAATTGACAAGAGCCTGATTCCACCACACTGCCTCACATTTAAAACCAAGAATGTTGTGGAGTTTGATGAAGTGCGTCGATCAGTCCTATTCTTTTGTAAAGATTATAGAAATAGTTTTCGGCTAATTAAACATCATCTTGTATTAACAAAATGTTCTGCCACAAAAAATAGTGTTTGCTATTTTAAAATTTCGTATTTTGATATAGGACAATGATCAATTACGGCAACGACTTGCAATGTTGACCTTGAAGGAGTGTCACTTGTAGATTCTCACAGCAGATATTTGTAAAGTATGACAAATAGACAAACTGTCCAACATCTCAGCCTAAGGTTCAGGTTACAACTTCATTGTAAAGAGGCAGTTCTTACTTTTTTTTTAAAGTCTAAAATATTACAATTGCTCATCTTCGTTGATTAAAGTAACAAATTTAAATCTAAATTGACAGATTTGTTTTCCGAAGAAGCCCTTCAGAATAATATTTTTGTCAGAAAGCTCTCAGGTCTGCTGGGGCAATAGTGTAGATTGTGAAGCGCATAGAGCTTGCTGTTGAACGGGGATTTGAGCTATACAAATGCTATCTATTATTTAATACCCCTACAATGCTGCTGACCTCGTGCCTTATTGAAAAGGAGACAACTCAGTCTTCATACATTATTATGGATTTCAGCTAGTTATTCCCCTTCCAACAATAATTGTGCTAGTTGCAGCACGAGCAAGCTGACGTCACTTCTTTAAGCAAATTTCGAGAAAATTGTGACTTCCAGATTTCAGGGGGAAAAAAAGAAAAAAATACAAATTAAATTCTGGCTCCAGTTTGGAAAAAAAAATGCTTTAAACCTATCAGTAAGTCGTACTTTACTATCGTATCCATACGACATGGGGAACTCTGTGCCACCACTTTCCAAAGAGGGAAATTTTACTCGTTGATCCGATCC